ATAATATATATATATATATATATATATATATATTTCTGCTTATCTATGTGTGTATACACACCAACTCTCGAGATAGCCGTTTGCATGACTGCCTCTAATCCCGCCCTTTTAGATGTGCCAAGAAGATGACCATCGGCAGAATAAATAGGAATACCCTAAGTGTACATACACCCCAACATCCTTGCGGTGTATGCGCAGCTCATGGAGCAGCAGATGCATACATGCATCAGTCATAGAAACAAACAATTTTATAAGAGGGGATACACATACAGACGAGCAAAGAGATTCTCTCCGCTTCTCAGTTCCTGCTGCTGCTGCTGCTGTTGCTGCTGTTGCTGCTGCTGCTGCGGCTGCTGCTGCTGCTGTTTGTTCAGCTCACGGTGAAGCATTCTTGTCCTCTCATAAGGAATACGTTGGCTACATTTGCTGCAGCTACAGCAGCAAAGGGAACAGAAGGCTGCAGCAGACGCTGCAGCAGCACCCCCTTCTTTAGCCGCGCCACCCACGCATTTAAACCCACCGACAGACCCACAGACACCACAACAGCAGCACTGCAGCAGCAGCACAAGCAGCACATGCAGCAGCAGTAACAGGCCTGCAACAGCAGCAGCAGCAGCACAAGCTGCTACTAGCTGAAAAAGCAATGGGACACCACAAGTCGTCTAGCGAGGCAACGAGCTGTGTAGCCATCCTAAACCCTAAACCCTAAACCCTAAACCCCAAACCCTAAACCCTAATTAAGTGTAGGGATTACGAATAGGATATAGTAAAGACAATAGAGAAAAATATTATTACCTGTATCCTTTAATAATATTTTGTCTTTGCTGCTGTCTTTGTTTCTCCTCTTGTGGTTGATTACCATTGGCATAATTAAATGCTGCATTATATGTCTGATTTATCCATTGCCAAAAGATACTATTTAATACTGTAGGAGGACTCAGCAACAAACCTGAAATAGTTAACACAGCCACAAGCTCCTGCTGCTGCTGTTGTTCTTCTTCTTGTTGTTGCTGCTGCTGCTGCTGTTGCTGTTGCTGTTACTGTTGCTGGGTCTCACCTGCGCATATCGGTATGTTGAGAGGTGCGTATGCCGCCATACGTAGGACAGCAGGTAATAGGAATCCGTTGCTGAGGTTAAGGGAAGCATCACGGAGTATAACTGCATCGTGTATTTGTTTCCTTGTAATGTTTTGTCTATTTATTTCTTCTTTATTTCCTGATTCATAAAATTCTGCTATTTCTTTTGCCCTCATTATATCCGCCTCTGAGGCAAGTAATAAAAAAGGATTCATTCGTCTTTGAAACCAACATACACGACTCCAGTAACTATTCAATAAATGCCCATCTTCACGTAAGGGGGAGAAGAGGTTGTTTCTTTCCCTTGGTGCGGCTGCGGCATGTTTAATGGATTCTCCGGAGGTATTTTTACTGGTATTCATCTTCTCTTCACCTCCTCCACAATAAGAGAAGGGGAAATAGTAGAAATACGATGATTTTCTGCTACTCTTTTAGTAGAAGATGCCGGTAGTCATACATAACACACAGCGCGTATATACTGGCTGATAACCTGTTCTTACGTGGCTGTCTAGGTGTTGTGATATATACAGGACCCCTTTCTTCCACTAAAACCTATTAATTAATCAAAAGGATGAATTATTGTCCTTAATATAAGAAGAAATGAAATAAAATGAAGTAAAATTCGGTGAGAGAAGCTGCAGGCTGGACAGAGGAAAGCGCATGCGGCCATGAGGTGATTGTACTAGGAAATTGAGTTACCTGTTGATCCTCCGCTTGTTTTTTATGCATATAACTATTAAGAATAATTGAATTATAAGTAGATAATAATGAAAGAAATAACGAAATAAACAATGCATACGTCAATACATCCACAGTGTTGTTGGTTGGGGCTGCCTGTCTGTTTATAAGCCACGAGCCGTCGCTGCCGTTGTCGTCCTGTCAGCAGCGGCTGCTACTGCCTGCTCCTTTGAATGGGTTGATTTCTCGGGTTTTTGAGGTCCCTTCGGATTAAAAGAAGTGGAATAGGAAATAAAACGAAAAACTCTTTTAAAAGAGTCGGGGCTTGCCGTCGTGATCGCATTTTTTCTTCGTAAACGCACACCCAGCCACCACCTTTCCTCACTTCGCCTCCTCTCCGTCCTTACCACTTTTCAAGATGTTTTGGTCAGCCTTTCTGCAGTGTGACCCGAACTCGGTCTTCTTCGGGTTCATGGGTATTACCTCCGCCATCGTTTTTGCCAGTACGTCGCACGCTACGTCATGAGCCCCCCCACCAGCGGGAGCCTCACTGATGCTCTCTCTAGCAGTAACAGGGTCTGCGTACACTCCCGTAGTATTTTTAGCTTCTTTGTTGGCTTTTCTTATCCAATTCAATCCATTGGATACTCCTAGAAGAGCCAACGGATCTTCATCTGTACAAATGAATCCTTCACATTGCGGCTGCAGCGGCAACACTGCACCCATAGGGCAGCCTACCACCGACAATGCTCTGTTTAAAGTTGTTTGATTCATCCATTCATGAAGACCTGTTTATTGCATTATGGCGATGGCGGCATGCATTCATGAATGCATGCATAGCGCCCTTGTAGGCATACATAGCTGCATACTTGCACAGTGCAAAGGAGCGGACAAGCCTTGACGACGGGAGCAAATCTATGTTTCATTGTTTATTCGTTAATATCTGTTTGATTTGTGGGTTATAAAAGGGGATGTGTTGGTTAATTGCTCGGGATGTGGCGTTAAGCACAGTACAGCCACCCCCCAGTACATCATAGGATGAGCGTTGTAATACATGCAGTGTTCGATACGTGATATACATATGTGCGTTACTATGTGTTTGTTTGTTTGCCTGCTCCTCCTCCTCCTTTGTTAAATATTATCTTGTTGAATAATATGTTTACATTTATTTTCCGTTGTTTTTTATCTGTTTATTTATTATCAGATCTTGGTGCCGCCTATGGAACGGCTAAGAGCGGAGTCGGTGTCAGCAGTGTGGGTGTGATGCGACCCGATTTAATTATGCGGTCAATTCTGCCTGTTATTATGGCGGGTATCTTGGGTATTTACGGTCTTATTATATCCATCGTCATCTCCTCCGTTAGTACGTTGACACCTTTATCAAATACTATTGGATATTATTACCCTTCTTCTCCTCCTTGTTCTCATCCTAACTCTCCTTGTCCTTGTTACGACAAACAGAAGAACAACAGCAGAATACACGCACAAACAGGTTGTGACTGTAGCAGAAATTAGTCAAAAGGAGTATATGGCAGCTTGCCGTTCGTATGATTTGCCATTTTCCTCATGTTCTGGTTATTTCTCTTGTTTTGTTTTGCTTGTGCTGCAGTGGGATCTCCTGATGTCTATTCAGCTTATGCAGGTGGGTTACTGCTGCAGCTGCTGCCCTTCCCAGCGCCGTTTTGTTCCTATTTGTCCTTTTCTTCGCACAGACGTGACTTAAACGACTCAGTGTTCGTATTTATTGAACTGTTCGATTGTTATCCATTAAACAGATGGAGTTTGTGCACAGATGGTAATTAATTAAACAAACAAAGTGCTTTTTTGCATGCATTCTCTCTCTTCAGGTTTCGGACATCTGGCTGGAGGGCTTGCCGTTGGTTTAAGTGCATTGGCTGCTGGTCTTGCAATTGGAATCGTTGGAGATGCAGGTGCGATATAGAGAAATGTATAATATATAAAACATAAAATATAAACTATGTATTGCTATATGTAAATATATAAGCTTCTCTAATGTACTGCATACTATATTTTGCATTGTATGTGCAAATATCAACAAGAGGTGTAGGATTTATAGCCCACAGACCACGCATACTTGTAGAAGAGCCTGTCGCATAAGAAGCAGGATTGTGCGGCATGCATGCACTGTATTGATAATTATTATATCGCATAGGGAAGCATATTTATTGCATTCTTCTTTCTTCTGATTCTTTTTCTGCCTTCAGGTGTCCGTGCTAACGCCCAGCAGCCCAAGCTTTTCTTTGGCGTTACTCTCATTCTCATTTTCGCCGAAGCTATTGGCCTTTATGGTGAGCGAAAAAAGAAAAGGAAATAAAATTTAAGCATTTGAAGATAAATAACACATTTTGAGGGTCTAGAGCAGTACTGAGTAGCCGGGTTACGAGCCAAGTGTTAGGGTTTGGATATTCAGCTCTATGTAGGGGTTGTTTCTTTGTGTTTGTTATCTGGTGCTTACATTTGTACGCTTTATATTCGTATATTTATTGGGGTGTTGGTGCCTCCATAGGCTCTTTACTCGTTAGTTTGTGTTGCTATATGCTTGTTTTCTCATTCTGTTGCTTGCATTATCTGCTGCAGGTTTGATTATTGCGTTGGTTATCGTCACAAGGAAGGTTGACGGGCTCTGCACGAGCTACAAGCAGGCGTCGTAAATCAACGGCATTCTGCAGGAATGAGCAATAAAAGATTTACAATAGCGACGAGAACAATAACAGAAATTGTTTGCTCTTATATACTGCTTGCAAACAAACAAAGTATATAATAAAGGAACAGAGAATCGCCGCGTATTAGACAAGCAGACCGGCGGTCTCAGGCGGTGCTGGGTTGATAATATATCAATAGCAGCACAGCTCAAACACTTCGGCTGGTGTTTACAACCACTAATTATATATGAATATACATATTTATATATGTGTGTTTATGTATATTTAAGTATATATTTCCTGGCGCTCGCCGAAGCAGCAGCGACTTATGACACATCACAACAGAGGGGCGAAAGCGAGAGAGCAGCACTGTTTGCTGCCTTTGTCTGCCTGTCGCTGCTGTTGGCATCACACTTCCATTAAAACTAACAGTTATTCCATTTGAAGTATAAAATGCCTCTGAAACAGTCTTTTGTCGTCTTTAGTCTTTAGGATGATGGTAAACTGCACGGATTCAATTGCTGGCACACACAACTCAGACACAACTCTTTTGGAGGTGTGTAGGCGTGTGTTATAGAGGAGTGCAGCAAAAGGTAGCACCAGCTCACCATTCACATGAGACGATACAACAGAAAAAACTTGAAAAACTGAGGAAATGTGTATTACTTTGTTCAAAGGGTCCCCATCTATTAGCGACTATCGTGCATGCTTAAACGGGTGCAGCACTCGAACACACATGTATATGTTCCTCTTACTTGTGTGGATATAGATGTGTACAGAGTTAGCATATAGTGGAAATAATAAATGGTTGACGTTTCCGTCTATGGAGACGTTAAAATTGAGAATTTCAAGTTTGTGTCGCTCTCTGTCCTTGTTGAATGCGCAATGGCTGATATGCGCGTGGTTCATTCACAGCACAGAAGTACAGTAGGTCAGCTTAATGGGTGCAAACAGGAACAATGTATAGTAAATATAAACAAAAATATACATAATAAACATGTTAAACGAGGATACTGAATAAATAATGTTTTTTTTTTACGTGGAACGGCAAGTCCTCTCGATCTGTTGCTGACGAGCCCCTGGTGGGGTTGTGTGTTTGGGTTGAACATCAGCGGGCCTGCATTACCTTGCGAGGGACTTCAAGGGAGGGTTTTTCATTGTTTTTACAATAATTATTGTAAAGTGATAAAGCATTGCTTTAAAACTTTTGAAGGTACTTCGTGGACTTGCATGTCAGCTGCTGCTACGAGTAGCAGTGGACGGATGACGCACAGGCAGACCACTGGTCATTGCCTTCTGCGTGTTAGACTGGCGTTCATTTTAGAAGCAATCGCAACATCTATTTCGCCTGATTGATAAAATTTAATTGTAATTTTTTGCTTGTCTTTTACGACTTGCTCCTTTAGCAGCAGACCTCACATCGTCCCATCGTCAAAAAATCCCTGCCACACGTAACAGCAGTTCATATTTCAGCAGCAGCAGCAACAACAGTATCGGCAACAGCACAAATATCAACTGCAGCAGTGAGTACAGCAACAACAGCATCGGCAGCAGCAGGAAGATGGTTGTAGGAGGCGAAGGTGAATCTCCTCCCTTTCTCCCCTGGGCCTTCTTGAGAAAATGGAAGGACTTCACCTTCGTGCACTATCAAACAAAGAAGCCTGAGCAGTTGCAGAACGATTCTTCTGGTTGTGCTGCTTCTGTTGCTGCCACTTCTGGAACTGGGGGGCGCCCACGTGTGCTGCTGCAGCGGCTCTTCTTTGGCCTCCCGTTGGACGTTGCTGGTATTCGGTCACGTCAAGAGGATGACGCCGTTGAGCTCGCACAAATTCACAGCGAAGATGAACAGAGTCTTGTGCTGTACAGGCACATGCTTCGTAGATGGCCGTACCTCACGATCCTGGTGAGAAAGAGACTCTCGCTGCCATCACCACACAAAATGTTTTCTCGTGTTTTATCCCTCTGCCGCGACTAGCAAAAGTTGCACAAATGTACTTTAATTGATTTTTCTGTTGAGCGATCGCGATAGCCAAAATGTTTTCAATGACCAATATTGGATTACTGCATGCATGCCAAGCACATGCATGTGTATGTGAACACATGCATGCATGCTTGCATCTATGCAAGTTTGGCGCATGCATGCACGCATGCACCCATGTATGTTTGTATTTGCACTTAGGCCTACCGGCAATCTCGCCTGGTGGGTGTTGTTCTGTGCGAGATAAAGTTAAAGGACAGCTGCTGCATGCTGCATGATCCTTTTTCACACCTTACAGCAGCAGCTGCACTCCCCGGAGTAGAAAATTCAGAAGAAGAGACAGCACTATCATTAAAAGCAGCGGAAGCAGCAGCAGCAGCGGCAGCAGCAGCAGCAGCTGCTGCAGCGCCTACAACAGAACCGGCATCTCGGCGTTCGTTGGCATTGGCTTCTGCTACAGTGCCTTCTCAAATGTGCGAGACCAGGAAGAGAAGAGAAAGAGCAAAACGCGCAAAGGAGAGAGGGAGGTTGCAGCAGCAGCAGCAGCATGCTCTCCCTGCTTCTGCCTTAGAGTGCAAATGCAAAGGATTCTGCACCGCTCGTGTTGCTGCTTTGGTTGTGAGGCCGGAGCTGAGGAAACGGGGAGTAGGAAAGCAGTTGCTTCGTTTGGCCCTGCAGCAGCAGCAGCGGCTGGTGGCAGCAGCACATGCAGCAGCAGCAGCAGCAGCAGATAACGACGAGGACCAGCAAGCCATTTGTCGCGCTCTCCTCTCTGGTTTTGGGTGTTCCTGCTTAAAACACTGCAGCAACACATTAGAGGGCAAATGCAGCAGAGCAGCTGCTGCTGTTGCTCTCCTCATGGCGACACCTCTCCCTCAGGGACAGCTGTATCCCACAACATCTTGGTTCCCTCCGAGCATTTCTGCTGTTGCTGCTGCAACAGCAGCAGCACCACCAAGTTCAGCGGCAGCGGTAGCGACAGCAGCAGCACCAAGTTTATCAGGAGCAGCGCCAGCAGCATCGCCACCAAGTTCAACAACAACAGGAGCAGCAACAAGAAGTGGAGGAGCAACAGAGGAAGAGGGCTCAAGAGACCCGGTTGTGCAACAGCAGCCTTGGAGTCTGAAGTACTGTGGTGCTGCCTTTGACACATGCAACACTGCTGCTTACCGTCTATACATCGCGTTAAACTTTGTCATAAAGTCGCATAAAAGAAAATTTTATAACAACGGGAAAGATGCATTTAAGGTTGTTTTCGTCTTTGGACAACCAACTGCTTGACGGAGACCATCTAATTGAATACGGTGTATATTTTTGCTCCTTATAACTCTATATCTAAGGAAATGCTGTGCTTGAGTTGTACTATACAAACATATATAATCATATATGTTTATATGTGGACACTTTTTGTAGGGAAAGCCACTCTATATATATTGGGTGCTGCGCGCGGAAGTTCCCGTTGCCTTTCCATGTGTAGTATATATCGCCATATACGGTATTGTATATAATATATATGCATACAAAATATAGGTGTATAGTTATAAGGCTATATATATATGTATATATATATATATATATATATA